TATATAAAAAATTTTTAAATATATTAAATGATAAAATATCTAGAATATTTTTGCATTATACAATAATCTTTATAATGGATCACTAATTAATTTTACAAGTAATGAATAATAAATAAGTTGTAAATTATGCTCACCTCACGATTGCTCCGCCGTAACCTGATATCTCCCAGGTTTTCTCCTTCTCTCTCTTGTTCATCTTTCGCTGCTTCTTCATGACACACGATACTCACAAAAATACTGTTAATTACAATCGCGCGCGTACTAATCAATAGAATACGATGATCGCGCGACACTTTGTACGGCACCCCCGATGTTAATCGCACATGTGTGGGACGCGCACTTTATTATACTACAACAAAAAACAATCCGAAGGCTACGATCCGCTTGACGCTCGACAAAGTCTATGTGCTATCGCCCGGTTAATCTCTGAGATGCTAACAAATAGTATACAAATAACGATCCGTCCCATATCTGCGATGCTTTTTTAATCACCAGAAAGTTTAAAAATATCGATAATTTCATCCTGATACTGAATATTACTAGAAAAATTGAATTAACGGCTAAGATGCGACATATATTATTCGAAGATATAAAACCAAAATTCAATATATTGCACGTGCGAAATAAATATTTATTACGATCGATATATATCATATCACGGTTCTCTGTTGAATAACCAACTTGAATCATTCGATCTAATGATTGCTTCATGTTCTCAATCCGAAAAAATAATTAGCAAATTATATCTGAATAATAATTTTAAAGTGCGATGTGCGAGATATATTTCATGTACATAAAAAGTGTATTTTAGGTTAGGAGATTAAGATTAGATGCTTACCAGCCATTAATCGCGCAAATTGATAAATGCTAATTGTGTAATAATTACAGGGAATGATCGAGTTTTGGGCATCTTCTAATACTTGCTATGATTTCGAATTTCAAGGAATAATACGTCGATATGTCGCAGCGTCTCACGCTGCTACCTTTCTACTCGAGTCTCGTAGCGCGAATGGCAACACCAAGGTGACTGAAGATGACTGCGTATAACGTACAGCGCGAAAACCGAAACTCAACAAATAATTCGATCCGTCCCATATCTTTCTGCGATGCTTTTTTAATCACTAGAAAAGTTTTAAGATTGATATCGATAATTTCATCCTGATACTGCATATTACTAGAAAAATTGAATTACTGGCTAAGATACGACATATTATTTAAAGATATACAACCAAAATTCAATATATTGCACACGCGAGATAAATGTTTATTACGATCAATATAATATATATATTATATATCATATCACGGTTCTCTGTTGAATAACCAACTTGAATCATTCGATCTAGTGATTATTTCACGTTCTCAATCCGAAAAAAAATAATTAGCAAATTATATCTGAATAATAATTTTAAAGCGCGATGCGCGAGATATATTTCAAGTATGTAAAAAGTATTTAGGTTAGAAGATTAGGAATAGGCTTTTACCAGTCGTTAATCGCGCGGATAATAAACGCTAATTATGTAATAATTACAGGTAATGACCGAGTTTGAGCGTCTTAATACTTCTCACGATCGAATTTCAATGAATATATAATATATCGCAGCGCCTTGTTTCCTGCTCGAGTTTCGTCGCGCGAGTGGCAACACAAAACACAAGGTGACTGAAGATGACTGTGTATAAACATACATATAGCACGGGAATACGTCATACGCGGCAAGTTTCGGTGCTTGTTTTAATAATATTTATCGAGCCGTTCTAATATCGTATATTTCAGAATATGATTGCACGACATATTGTGAGATGTCATATATATATAAAAGCGATCTTTCTCTACGATTATTAGAATTAGCGATTATTAATCCGCGCGATTAATTAACTCCGCGATTTGTAAATGTATTAAAATGAAGGTTAAACATATTTCGCATTCAGATATTTATATATTCACATTTGATGTGAAGAAGAATCGAAACGATATGGAAGATGAGAGTTATAAATTATTGTTTTATTGCGATATTTATTTTGTTAATGATACTTTGATTTTTGAAAATATCTTTCATTAAGCTTTAAATTGTTCGTAATAGATATAAATGTAACATGCTCATTATTTCTGGATTGAGAGCATGGAATGAGGATCAAGTGATTCAGGAAACCGTGATGCAATAAGCTTTTAATAAATAATGAGGGAGATATTGAAAAGAGGAATAGATATCGCGCATAAATTTATCTTACGTTAAATATTTCGTGGCAACAAATTCACTGTCGCACGGTGCTCGACGTTCGTATTTCTCCGGCGTATTGCGTGTTATTGTTTACGCGCGGTAACTTTGTTGTCAAGGTTACCGGCGAGACTCGAGCAGAAGGTTAGCGGCGCGAGGCGTTGCGACATGTACTTTATATTATTAATTCGAACTTGGATCGCGACAAATACTAATAGATACCAAGCGCGATTATTCCTTGTAATTATCACATTTAGCCTTTATTAATCCGCGCGATGAACGACTCGTATATTAAGCGTGTCGAAGCGACGGTTTTATCGAACCAGCTATTTATTATTAACACGTTTATCTATTTATTTGAAGTAGGAATTAAATCGATAAAGATGGCAATTATATAAAATATAAAACATTGTTTTTTATTTCGATATTTAAGATGATGGCTATACTTCTTAATGCTTGAATCTATAAATACGATCTCGCGTCGCGCTTTGAAATTCTCGCCGATTTAAATAATTAATGTGCCCATTTCGAATGGAAAATATGGAATCATCATCACAAAATAATCATGAATTGAATGACAAAGAAAATGTAATATATTAATAAACGTAATATATATTAATGATATATTTATCGTGAGATTTTTATATTTGAGATATATCTTGAGATATAGATTGAATCAATTAAGCTATTCACTGTTGTAAAATTAATTATTCGTACTTCACATTATATATTTTAAATTATTATATAGATATAATTAAAAAATGCTTTCTTATAATAATTAATATTTTTATATAATAAATATGTTCAGTGTATATATCACGACAGTACATCGTATCGGTAATGTGAAAAAGTTCTGTTAAGTTAATTTCGCACGCGACATTTCTCCAAATATATTATTAAAGTAAATATTGATAAAATTACCAAAAAATTAAGTTATCAAAAATAAATGTTGCCTACAAGTAAGCGTGCAGTATCGAGAACACCGAGAAAAATATTGTGCATTTGTTGTATTATGCGTAGATATAGTATATCACATTGATAGTGGAAACATGCGACAATTTCATTGAGTAAACTTCGCACGACCATAGCTTCAAGCATTAAACGAGATGTTCTATAATAATAAAATTATTATAGTCTTGCATATTTATATCATAGCAATCTTTTTTATAGAAAACTGAATAAATAAAAATATAGATTAAATTGTGACAGTATTTGCGAGTTGAAGCAGTTAAATATGTATCAAGAATGATAGATAAATCGACGCGATTCACTCATTTAAAATCATTTTTTTATATGAAGTTTACGTTTCGCCAGACAACTGGCAGAATGCAATAATAATAGAACCTTCGTAGAAATTTTTTTTTTGCTTTTGTAATCAAATTAAACGCATATAGATGTATATTAATTCGGCAGCGCACTCTCATCAGCCTCGATCAAAAGTTGACAGGTGATAAATTATTAATCGTGTGGCCACCGAGAGTAGGACTATGCTGCTTTCGACAGGTCTGTGATATTAAAATGCCTTCTCGAGTGCCTTTTTCGTCATATTAAATTTCAATCAATGCCTCGTTCTAGCAGCGCACCGATTTATTATGTTTGAGCGCTGCCAACGATAAGAGATAGCGAACCGATATGCGCCACTTGTCGATGAAAAAATCGAAATTTGAAATTGGCTTTGCATATACAATTATATTATTGCTATCAATGCTAGAAAAATGTTTTAAAATAATTTGCATCAAAAGTTTTAAAAATTTAAATAGCATTTCTTCGAAAGTCTCATGTTTTTAACTGAGAGAGAGAGAGAGAGAGAGAGAGAGAGAGAGATTTTTTGTGTACTAATTAATTCAATTTCACATTTATTAAATATGAATAAATTATAAATTCGTCGTACCTTTTTCCCGATTTGTGCCTTCATATTAGACTCGCACGATTTTGTGTATCCCATCCCGTGAATATTCGCCCTGGCTGCTAAACGTGACCAAAATGAAATATAATAAACACAAAAGAAATACACCTCATGAAACACAATAAAATAAAAAAATAAGATTTGTAGCGATATTAATTGTAAATAAATCTTGATAAAGCAAGCTAAGTTAATATTTAAAAAGATATATTATAAATGTTAACTTATTCCATAAAATAATTAATATCATACATATAAATATAAATGTCTTCAAATATTAAAAATCGTTCTATTATAAAATTTTAATCCCGGTAATATAAATAACTTATATTCTCCGTTTCATCGATAGAACATAAATCATATGTTGAATTAAAAATAGAATTCTCAACGCAAGTTGAAAATAAAATTATCAATATGTAACTATTTTCTTTAGTTCTTTTTTTAAAAAATGATAAAAGCATGATTAAAAATTTACTTGAGAAATAATCATTGAAAATAAAATGAGAATTTTGTGAAAATATTATATTCAAAAATGTATAATACATGTGCGTTTATGGTATGCGCGCAATTACATGTTGCAATAACTAGATAGTTACAGTTAAACATCGATCTCGACCGAAACATTCTATGGGTGTGAAGAGCCGATATCTGTCTTGACGCGATAATCGGTATACGTGGCCGCGACTCGCTACATGCCGCGTTACAGCTCGCAAGGTCGAGACCTTGCACGAATACAATCTCTCTCGCTCTCGGGAGAAGAGAAGAGACTTCGTCGTGGCGGCGGCCGAAGAGACGCGGGCGTGCGCATCCGACAGCGATTTTCTTTGGGGCTAGAATACGCGAAGTGGCAAGGTGAGTTTCCCATGCCGCGTGGCGGTATGACGGGGCGCGTCGTTTATCAAAAATAAATTATCAAGAGGAGGATCTCAGAGACAGAGAGAGAAAGAGAGAGGCGCGAAGGAAGGGCGGGTGGGGTGGTTATACTGCGTGCCTTCGCGCGTGCATGGCCGCGTACAGGAAACTCCGGGGACCAAGAGACGGAGAGACTGTGATAGGCAAGCATGGCAGGAGAACGAAGCTCGACTAAGATGAAGAAGACACCGAAGAAGCGGCGAGCTACGCGAGCGAAACGTGTGGCAAGAGGTGAAGGAGGGAACGGGGGAAGACACGGGAAGAGCGATCACGAAGAAGCAACTTACGGCGACCGTTGCTCGAAGGACGGGGAAAGGTGGAAGAGCATCCTTTGGAACCGGTCCGTCCTCTCGGTGCTTGCTTGCTGCGGCCAGATGAAGCCAAGCAGGCGAGAGCCTTCGCGGCGCTCGACCTGGCGCGTCCGCCGAAACTTCATACTTCGAATGAACTCGAAAGATATTCGAAGAACAGTGACTCTTTGGTGAAATCAGAGCAGCGAAAAAAAAACCGAAATACGTTAGCGGTTTTATGATAAAATTCAACGTATAACATGTTACAATCATCCGGACCGATATTTTCGATGCAGTTGAATAAATATTCACATACTTCTTTGAAGAAACTAGATTACAGGCAATCACTTTGTTATATGTTATAAACGAACAGACACATACAACGAAAGATATAATTTTACATACAATTTCATAAGCAATTTTTATAGTCATATTTCGAAATATATACTTTGCGTAGCTTGACACACATATTGCGATTCAAATGAAACGCAAATTGAAAGGGTTGACACAAAAAAGTAATGACACGGTTATGTTGAGAAATAAGAGGGTTAATGAGAGGACTCAAAAAGGACTCTTGCGAGGCAACGGGATGAAACTGATCCTATCTCTTCGATACGTAGCTTATCATCATGATCGCATGAACCAGTATACCTAGAATGCACTATCCCAGTTTTAGCTTGTGTGAATGTCATATATAATATCTGTAGTTTCAAGTTATAACAAGTGTCACACTCTTGTACACATTGGATGTATACCACACACACACACACACACACACACACACATAATAATATTCTAATTATATCATAGAATATATTAGATCATAAAATATTTAGTCTTTAAATATATTATATTTAATTAAATATATCTCAAAATATATAATTCAAAGGAAATATTTTATCTTCAAATGTAATATAAAGAACGGATGCATCATATATCACACGTAGTTATATATATTATTTAGTGTAATAATTAAATTTTTGTGATCATTATATTGATACACATTATTGATATAATCGCTATCATGTTCTAAGATCTTTTCTTCTCTCAATCTTCTTCTCCAATCCGTTATATATTTTTTCCGATGTTTCATTCTTATGATGAATTCTCGTGATAATATCACTTTTCTAACAAATTATTATTATTTTTATATCTCTTTAATTCATTTTGTCCATCTAATGGTATATAACGGTATTTCACGATATAGCGTAAGCACATCGGAACAATAAATTTATTAAATCATTGTTAATCTATTTGCATCTCCGAAATCTTCAATAGAAAGTTAGGAAATCCTTCATTAATTATAACAAGACTTGTCAAAACAGAGACACACATACAAAATATCAAATATAAAGTAAAACAAAACTTAGAGATTATGGAAAAGTGATGAACCAGCGTAATTTAAAATAAAGATAGAGAATATAAAAGTGAGAGAACAAATGAGAGAGAAAAAGAAGGGGAGGAGAGAAAAAGAAAAGAATAAGAGGAAAGAGAAAGAGACAGAACGTGATGAGGAGAAGATGGAGGAAAAATGAACGAAAGGCTGTGAGAAACAGGGACAGAGCGAAACTCTCTGTGAGGCTAAAGAAGACTCGTGAGAAAGAGAAAAAGAAAGGGATAGGGTGAGCGAGACGCGAGGGTTACCTCCAATATAATTGTGAATGGGGATTCGGTTTTCTGATCGACTGTTTTGTATGCGAGAGAGAACGTCGTCGCGTAGTGCTCTCGAGAACTAAGAATATTGCGAAACCTATGGGAGTAACTGTAAACGCGCGGTGCTATTGCAATGAATTTCTATTCGTCGGTGTGTATTATGACGCCACGATTAAACCTTAATTAGCCGATGTCTTTTTGCAATTAAAAGATTTGATTTGCGCTAAGATAAATATTTAGCATAAGAATTTTTACAACCAATCGAGAGAGAGAGAGAGAGAAACAGCGAGAAAGAAAGAGATGTTATATTAAGATTTATTATTATGTAGATGAGGTTTGAAATTCAAACGATAGAAAAAGATCTTATAGGTCTTTTAAAAAGAGCATTCGAAGCCTGATTGTTAAAAAAAATTAACTTGTCTTCATACGTTCCTGCGTATTGTATAGTTTTATAATTGAAACATTTACATATACATTGTATATATGCATATAGTGTAAGCCACTTTAATATCTATTGCCGTAAATTTTATCAATTTTCTCTTTCTTTCTTCCTCTTTCTCTCTCTATAAAATTTATTTTTAGAAAATATATTTGGATGTTTGATTATATATAATCAAATATTGATATATCATACGTGGCACAGGCTTTTTGTAAATTCAGTTCTTTTATAAAAAATCTAGATTTTTTTTATAAAACATACATACACATATATAAAATTCTGCTTTAGAAATTTGACTCTCTATAAAAAGAGTAAGCTTACTTCTAAAAACGCTGATTTTTCAAAAAGCGTGCAATATACATATAATATATCGCTTGTATTAAATATTATTTCTACTACATAATAAAAAAAGATCGCTAAACGTATTTAATTTAAATGTACAATTTATTTGCGCGCGCAAATATTAATAATATTTTACACAGAAATAATTAAAAATTTATGGTGAAAACGATTATTGAATTAATAAAGAAGAGAGAATATTCTCTTTTTTCTATTTTGAAATCGAATATTCTCTCTGTATTGGTTTTAACAGTGACATCTTCTTGAGATATGCAGAAGCATGACTGGATTTTGTACGATTTTAATTAATCTTTGAAAAATTATATCGTAATTGGAAAATCATAATTTTATACTCATGATGATGACATGTAAATAACTATTTGCAGTAATGATAAGACATATTTGATAGAAAATAATTTAGTCTAAGATAATCAAATATCAAAAAATAATGTTTGCGAGAAATATTTTACCGACACACCTTATATCGTAGATATATTCAATAAGCAATATTTAGCTTTACTGACTTTTTAAAGATAGCTTTCATCATCGATGAAATAATGTTAAAAATTCGCAATTTGATTAATGCTTCGCGATTATTATTAGATTAGGTGATAATTGGAAAATCTGGTCGATTGTCGGTAACATCAAGCAATAATGCATCAATGTGTGAATTTTACCTTTAAATAATAATAATCGCAAAAGATAAGAATTCGATTTGAATGTAATTTTGCAATCTCTCGCAATATGTTCCATAATTTATTGTTAGCTTATTAATTTCAAAATATCTATATGTAAGAAGAGATAGTAATATATTTATCTGTGTGTGTGTGTGTGTAAGATATTTCTGTATATGATATTTATCTGTGCTACTTTCTCAACTTGAATTTTTTTTTTTTTTTTTGAAATATAATCATAGAAATAAATAAATGTGTAGATTTGATAACATTCCGTGCATATATCGATAGCAAGGAAACAGTCGCTATAATATTCCCGTAAACTATAAAATTGGAAAAATCGTTCGCCAAATTCGTGTATCTCTAAATATTTATTGTGATCTAGTGTATTTTATTAAATAAAGTGCAATATATGATTGTGTATTTTACTTAAGTGTATTTTTATTGTGTACTTTAATTTATCATATTTATTGATACATATTTTATGTTTTGAAGAATTCTTCATCTCCTTCTTTCTCTTTCTCAGCGAATATATCTTGTGGATTCTACAATATGCATATATATAATTAATTAAATAAAATATACCTACATTTTGCACTTTATTTAGAAAAACAATTTTAATATTAAAACATAATATACAATATACATATATATGAGAAGGAAAGGGAGGTTATTTCACATTTTAAAATCGTGTATTTTCAGTACCAAATATCCAATACATTTTGTTCTTACAGTGTGTTATATTGCGAAACTTAGATTAGCTTTAAAGTTGGCATTTCCCGAAAAAAAAAATGCCTTTCAAATCTAGAATATAGGTGATTTTATCTAAATATGCGACAAAGATATTAAGCGGCATTACATATATATATATACATACAATGATTCAGAAAAGCAATTGTTACTCAAAAACAAAATTATATCGATTAAAGGACATACATCGACAACATCGTACTACATGCGATAAATTAACTTCTCTTATTGCTTATTATTATATTATCATCGACTTAATGAAACTTATCGAATTTCACATTGGAAATATCTTACTTGTACATGATCTAATAGCTATTAAAATCAGCGGATTAATCGGAGGATAATAAAAGTATCAATTAACGTAAAGTTCGTGTAAAGTATGCTGCTATAACTATTATTATATCGTATCGCGATAAATTACATCTAATGAGTTCATCTAATATTACAAACTATAACGGGGGACATAGTCAATAGTCGAATGGACAAAGAACCAAAAATGTATAATCAACTATAACGATATTCAACTTATATTAAACTACTTGCAATAGGTGTTGCTTCTCTAATATCTTCTCTATTTTTTTTTTCTTGTAACTATATTCGCACGTACGGCTTTTTTAATTTTTGTATTTTCGGTTATTAAGATGACTCATCATATCATTGTTTAACATTAAAATTGTTTTTCATATGTAGAGTTAATTCTTTGTGTAAAAATATCGAGAATTTATTAAAGTTTTTGAATTATAAGCAATCAAAAATTTCATTTTTAGCGAACTAAGATTCAGAGCTGAAAATATATAAATCTTTTTCTTCTTTCAATAGTAAACTTTAAATTTGTAATTTCAGTATTAACTGCATACTTAACGTTGAAGATTGAAAATGTATAGCAAAGGTTATTTTTCATCAGAATTTTCGTTAAGTACGAATAATTACTGAATTTATCAAAGAGTTGTTAATTGAAGGATGATACATCAATGATTCTGTATTTCATTAGCGATTGTAACATAAATACGATATATAAATATCGTTTTGTATATCAGCTCACAATTTCGGTGATATTATTTTAGATATGATAATTCGTAGGAGATTTTTGGCATTTTATCCTAAGTAACGTTTTTCAGCACGTTTGATTACGAACAAAAATCCAATTCGAATATAGGACCAGAACGTAAATCACCATATAAACATCTTAACATATTTATCAATAATTAGCATCTTAACATAAAGACAATACATAGATATTATCATTATTACGTAAATTTTTTATGTATGTATATATATGCTATCCTTATGTTTCATATCTCGCGAGACTGTCACAGGAAATTATATGAGTAACAGATAACTAATAATCCAATAAAAATAGCTATAAGAAAAAAATATTGTATCTTTTATATATTGAATATGTGATTATTAATTAACTATATATGCTATTGTTCGCATATTCTTAAAATCACACACATCACTCTTTAGTTTCGAATTCATACATATACGTATACGTTACAGATACGGGAGAAATGAAAACGAACGTCACATAATTCTAATTGCAAAATTCATTTATTTTGCTCTACGAATGCAGTCAAAATTTGGGGAGAACAAAAATTTATTAAATCTGATTTGTTCTGTACAGTGCATATAATCTTTCGGGGAATTCGTATTATATTTAGTAAATATAAATAGATAGAACAGGACCCATCGATTGTGCACGATTGATGTGTGTTTGCATGTATATGTGTGTGAGTCTCGTGAAATATTAAATCAGATCAAGTCAAACTATAATATATCGCTCGTGCTTTCACAATATAACGTACACATTGATATCTGTGAGAACATCGAAAAATAATATACAGGGTGTCCCAGAATTAGACCGAAAAACTTCAGGTGATTATAAAGCCACACCAAAACATGCCAATTTTGCCAATAAACCCGTGTCCGCAAATGAGCCGTTCTGGCACTAGAGAATCAAAGACTAACAAGGGATCCTCGTGAACCAGAAAATTTTGATTTTGATAAAACTTTATACACATGTAAGGGGGGGGGGGGGGGAGGGATAGATGAATTTAGAAATTTCCATTTACGGCCGAAAAACGAGTCCAAGAAGTGAAATCACCTCTCATATGTAAAGTGGCTTTTTGCTTTTCTCGATATATCTTGAAAATTATTCAAGATATCAAAAAATGTTTTATACAAAAGTTTCATGTAGTAAAAACACCTCTATTTAATCACATTAATAAAAGCAGACATAGATTTATTAATAAAATTGTTTTGGTGTCCCTTATAATCACCTGAAATTTGTCGGTTTAATTCTGGGATACTCTGTATATAATTGTAACTATGATTTTTTTCTCGGAATTATAACGTAGTTTTTTTTTTATAAATATATAGGGAGAAAAAATCAAAGGAAAATGCAATAGGCTTATAGGAACAATTGAAGAGTGAAAATCAAATAATGGCTATATGATTAAAAAAGAGTCAAAATTCAAGAATAATATTCTGAATTGTACTTTAACAAAAAGAGAAAAAACATTTCCAATTTCACGTTTTTAAAAACATATTTAATTAACATTTAATGTTATCTTAACATTTAAGAGCACTAGTTGAAAAAATAATATTCAATACTTAATGTTCACTGTTATTAAAATATAATTTTCTAATAATATTTAAAGTTTTCAGTAAAAATTAATGCATTTCTGTTACAAATACATACTTTGATAGAATCATTGAATATACAAAAAACATGATGCTTAAAGATTCATCATTAATCTATCATTAGGTTTAAATCAGAAATCACAACAAAATATTTAAAATATTAAAAAAATTAAGTCTTTTATAAATCAAATAAATTTTTGTATATTTAACTTCCACATGAATACCAATAAATTTGAAAATTTCCTAGCTTTTAATAATTTTATAAATATTTAGATAATGTTGTGTATTGTTTAGATCGTAATGATAGAAATTATTATTTCTTCAAATGCTCACAATAGACTATACTATATATAATAAATATACCAAATTAATAGAATAATTTAATAAAAAATTTAGATTTAGAAATAAATTAATATAATATACAAAATATTTGTGAATTTTTATAAAAAAAGATTTTATCTTTGTGTGATTTCAAATTTGTGTTTTGATATTTGGCTTTCACTCTTCCCGGGGACATCTATCCTTAAAAATTAAAAAGTATCAATAAAGTCCATACGTCTCTCCTACAATTATATTGATTGGAGATATACCAATGAATTATAAACAATAATATCGCTAATGAATATGAGGTTATTCTTGTTAATAGTACAATGTCGGATTTTGTTCGATCGTCTTGCTCGTAATCTTAACGCTTTGAAAAGATGGTAAAGAGTCTCCTGTGAATTACGATTCTAAAAGCGTGATATTATAGAATTATTCTCTCTATTTTTCGCCAGGGTCGCGATCGATAAATTTATCGAGAAATGCAAAATTAGAATCGCGGAATCACGTTGTACGCATCGTTTTAAAACGAAACATAATTCGAAAATCTTAACGATAATATAAGGATTGATATGGATTTTAATCAGACTAATTTTTGTCATGGTATGATAATAATAAAGAAGCAATATGTCATATTAGGTTTTGATTGCCATAGTCTTGTTAGAATTGAATTAGAATTGTATTCAATGTACTCGGACCTTTGTATTGCTTTAATCTATGTCAAAAAATTTCATAATTAGAATAGTATAATAATAAGTAATGATAATACATTTACAATGAATAGATAAATAGAGTTTGGAAAACCTATTGATGACACGTCAGGTGTTTTAGTTTTTATCATATTACAGTTTCTTTTTTCCAAAAACACACAAGTAAAACTAAAATCTCATCAGCATTATTTAACCTTGAAAATCATATTTATATAATTACATTTATAATTAATAAAAGATATTATTTATTATAATTAATATCAGGAAAAATATATTGTATTTTTAGAGAATTCTAATTTTTAAAATTAAGTTATTGAGATATTTATGTGTGGCTAATGTTAAAAATATGTATATAATGTAAAAAATTTGTATTGTCCAAGTTCTTGTCTTCTTTCTTTTATCGTTTACAAAACAGACGAGGCTTGATCGCGATACCATTGATTTTCGAATTAATTTTTGAGTTAAAACAGTCAATAAATTGAGCGTTCTTCGTTCCGTAACTTCATGTTACACGAAACTTGATAAATCATTTCGACTGTCATTAGAATTAACATTAATACGTTCAATGCCGCATGAATTTTAATTTGTCTGTAAGTCTAATATTAGGAATTGTACATCGTAAAATTGTAAATTAAATGTAAATGTAAATATCGTTCTTTTTCTTCGTATTTACATACAAATGCATAAGTACAATAATTTTATATATATGCTATTGAGACGTTGCTCTTCGACATGATTGCCGCGGCATTGAAAGTGTTAAGAGATTATACGATGGACATGTTTGTGATCGAGAAATGAGTGTGTTGACGACTCGCGCTCGAGCGTGTAATCAAGATGTGCGCTTCAACCTTCTCGACTATTGACGCAAAACAGTAGTATGAATGATATGGGGATGATGATTCAGGCGATGTCGTGAAAGTCAGCCGAAGAAAGCTTTGTGCACATCGTCATTTCACTCTCGAGTCTAACTTATCGTAAATCATGGCAGTTTATCAATTTTCATAGTATGCGATAATATTAATGATCAGTCAATAGAGAAGGATTCTGTGTTTCTTCTCGTTGATTTCTCAGTCAACTTGCACGATTAAAGGCATAATACCTTCCTTCCATTCTCATCACCTCATAGATCAAATTTTAAAAATCGCTATTAAAACATGTATACATTCTTTTGATCAAGTAAAAGCGAGTCACTTCGGTCATGTGTAAAAATGATACGACAGCTGATCTTAGACTATCGGTGAACTTATCGCTGAGCACCGAGGGTGACGAGGCGGAGAGCATGAGAGTTCATTTTTATTTTGGCTACTTCGAGATGAGTAATGTAATGGCAAGAATGATCATCGCTAGTATCCAATACACATTCACATCTTTTTCCGAATAAATGACTTACAAATAAAATATGCGAGGTCTGTTAAGAGTATATATCATAAAGTATCAAATCGTGGCTTGTTCGTATTGGTTTTCTATTCGTTCCTGTTATACACGCACTAGCGTAGACGTATTGCGCGTTTCTTTCGTTTCATCGCGTCTCCCTAGCATAGTCGGCGAACATAATATAAGCGAACGACGCGAAATCGTCTATCGATCTATAGAAGTCCCCTTAGTGATTTTTTTCGACGCGGCCATATTAATCCAAATAAAAATAATAATCGCAACAGAATATCATTCGTCGACAAAAATGATCGCCTTCGCGTTCTTAATAAAAACGAATCATTTCGAGAAAAACCTATGTCTATCAATATTCTTAAATCACAGTCAATTTAACAGGAATGGGCATCAAGAATAGCAGTAAAATTAATAATAATAATAATGAACAAAAGCATCGCATGAGATTTCATTTTAATCGCTATTATTATTATTATTATTTTCTAGTATTGTTTCCGTATACTATGTTGAGCGTCACAAAAATGAGCGAATCCATGTGTACCGCATCTATATTATCATATATTGCACATAATCTAAGCAGTTAGTTCATACAAAACAGTATCTACTTGCTCACTTTGGCAAATCTTATGTGTAAATTGATAATGTAAATGTCATTACACACACGGACTTTGCAACTCAATATCAGTTTATAGAAATGAACAGAGTAAATCTACAAATCGATATGCTCTTCTGCGAGTATTTTGAAATCATGTCGTGATTCAATCATAGAGGGGAGAATGGATCCAATTGGTTACATGTTTTTATAAATTGTAATCACTAGATCAGTTTATTTAAGTAATCATTTAAAGCCAATTCACCTCTAAGGCTAAAAAGATTATAAATCACGAAACGATAATGTATATATAAAAGCTAAAATAAGCTTTTAAGATCTTTGACAAATGTTTAGCGATTGAATTCAACGGTCCCATATTATATTAACATTCGTTAAAAAGAAAATGCGAACCATGTTAGGCAGACAAAACGATGGTAAAAAACGTATCGATGTAAGCTCTAATATTAAAAAATTTCTTATTATCTTATTATATATAACAAAAACGCAATGAGCAAAACTAACGAATGAAGTTTACTGTGTGTTGCGATGTATCTACAATCATTTAACTTGAAATGTGCATTGTTTACTAATGCACAAAAATATGCTGTGCGCAACAAAGATCTATGATATAATCTAAAAAACCATCGACTGTTTTGCATTGGGTGTTCTTATTGACATTTTGTTATCAATTCAGTCTTAAAATAATTCTTAATCAGTTTCATTATAATTGGTTGCAGCACTAAAATAAAACATTGATCAAATCTTTTAATATAGTACATCAAATTACCAAGGAAAAGAAAACTGAAGAGGTAAAATAAAGGAAGCAAGATTTCGAATCGTTAAATTCATTTGGCACAGATACAATCGACATTTTAACATACTGCAACTATATTGGAATTACCTATCCTATCAGTTTTTCACGTATGATCTCATTCTCTGTTTAGGCGATATAAAAAAGATAAGTCAATACACATGTTATGTAAATATTAATAGTAATATTGGGGAAAGAGAAAACACGTAGTAATCGATTACAGTGGATGACACGTTCGATTACTTCTAGACCGATCACGCGCGAAATTACAGCTAAGAAAGTTTTGCAAGTTTAATCGTAATATGTCACGTCAAGCTTTCCCTTATCGAAATTGTGACAATAATCGAAGATGGATCGTTATTAGGAAAAGCAGACATGAAAAAATTAACGATAAAAGCCGATCTCCATGATATAGGCATCAGTCAGTGTATGTACGAGTTAACATAAAACGTTAACGATGTAGACATCATATAAATAGAAGTTGGCCATCATCACGAAAAATAAAATATACAACTATCGTAATGTTTAAAAAACAATCAAATCTTCCGTATCCCGTTATTTTCTATTTCTCGTTATAATCATCGAAAGGAACGGTAGTTTACGAACTGCATTTTAAAATAGCGCGTCACGTTTTGGACGCGTAGTACGATTTACGTAAAGTATATGGAATCAATTTATATCAGTTTATACCTGTGAATAAGTACTTGTGGATTAGGGTTATGCATGTAGGGCTCCTTAAACTGTATAAGAACAAAGTTAAGACGTCGCCGCTACAACTACAGGAGGAACAACGTCGGGTTCTCCGGCACCGTCGACTACGGTAGAATCGACGACCTTTTTAACTTTTATGGACTCCGCACTACTTTCTGACGAACTCTCAGGCTCACCGTTTTGCGCCGCCGCTTCTTCGCTCGTCGTTTCCTTCGACGTTCCTTCGTTCAGTCCGTTACTGTGTAATTTATCATCCAACACTGGCACATCCGTATTTCCGTTTTGTGCGGTTCCATTGAGTTTTTGCTTTTCCGAATCCACTATATTTTTGTCTTTCATATCCACCACATTCTCTTCTTTCACTGTGTCTTCATCTTTTATTACCTCCTGTTTCGTAGTTTCATTCTCGCGTTTTTCAGCGTCAGTGACCACCGTTTCCTCCGTTTCTTGAGGTGTCTTTTCATCGATTTTTTCAGGTTTTGCAACTGCTTCCAAACTTTTCTCTGTGGATGCTTCAGTTGTTATTTCTTTCTTTACGTCTGTTGTACTAGTTGTTGCTTCAGTTTCTGTTACTATAGTTTTTTCCACAGCTGCCTGTACAGTCTCCCCATTTTCCGTAAAGTCTACCACAGTTGACTCTTGATTTTTTATTTCTTCTTTTTCATTCTTCGTTAAAACATTTTCGCTTTCAGATATGCCGGAAACAATCTTTGATTCTTCCTTTACTTCATCTTTTTCTGCTGTCAAGCATTCTTCAGGTTTATCTGTTGTTGTTTTGTCACAATTTTGTGACTGCGGTTCAATGTCGTCTTTTTTGTCATTTTCAGCAGTTTGAGTTTTGTTGACAAGTTCAGCTTGTACATTTTTCGCAATATCTGTTGAGTCTTTGATTTTTTTCTCGGAAGATGTCGGAGTATTTTCAGATTTTGATATAGATTCTGATATAGATACATCTAAGGATTTATTGGCAGTGGGAATAATTTCAGTTGTGACTGTATCCAAGTCTTCTTCAGTCTTTTCTGGTATAGCAATTTGATCGCTGTTTTTTGTGGCTATAGCGTCATCTTTCATTGTTTCTTCTACATTTCCAGATGAGCTTGTATCTTCGTTCATGTCCTTAGGTTTGACACCAGATTCTTCTGCTCCCGCAATTGGAGTCTCCTGTTCAGAATTTAAGGGCTCTTTTTCAATCGCCATTGCTTCTTCCTTTAGCGGCAGAGAAATTGCAGCATCTTGTGACAATTGACTCTTTAAACATTCTGTTCCTTCCGATTCAGTCACTTCTTTCATATCTTCGTCTTTTTCATTTTTTTGATCATTAATGTCAGGTATTTCTACATCTTCAGAAGTATCCATCGGCTCACTGACATCAGTCGTATCTTTCTCAACTTTTTCATTTGCTGTTTCTAATTTCTGTCGCTTTGTAGACGTTTGAAATGTTAAATCCAAGAAGGATTTGATAGTTGTATACATAATCTTTTCTTCATCATTAAGAGCTGCATTACCCTCACGTACTACAATGATTGTTGATAAACCTGCTTCCTTGGCAGCTGCGGCTTCTGTTATCATTTAAGAGAACAAAAGAATGAACAAAGACAAATTTGCAGAAATCGTCAAAAATATGATGTAGTAAATCTATATAATATTATAAGAATCTCTCTCTTTTTTTTACATTTAGAAAGAAGAGAAATATACAAACCTTTTACAACATCAGTGAGAAAAACAACATTGGATGGTTTGTCGTCAATTTTACTCAATATGTTTTTATAGCTATCACTTTCTTGCTTTGCACCTACTTCTGTATCAAAGAAACCACTGAAATACTAAAAAAAAGACAAAAATTATGTCACATAGTTTTTATACACGTATTCTATCCAGATATCTCCAGTCGAATATCTTTAATTATAGTGCATTGTATTATTGTACAATACCTTAAGCAAATCGCCATGTATAGAATGCCCGAAAAGAAGTTTTTGCGCCTCAACACTGCCACTTGAGTAGACATATATTTTTCTGCCATCATTTTTCCAAGATTCAAGTGCTTTAGGAACATCTTCATAAACACTAAACAAAATATGCTCTTGAAGCTTGACATTACAATAATTCCGATTCTTTTAACTTTCTAATTTTTACAACTTGAATTTGTTATTAGATTATAATAGTTTTCATAATCGATATCAATTGAAAAATTATTTCAGGAAATCAAAAAATTAAAGATAGATAAAATCATAAAATAATATCTCATATAACAATTGCTTAAGAAACAAGCAATTTTTAATATAATCCAACGATTACAATGTGCAAGCAAATTCATAAATTAGAATAATCTAAACATAGAATTATAAAATACAGGCATCACACAAAACCTATTCTTATTTATGCATGATCTCTAATATAATAACATAGACAAAATTTTATATAAAAAATAAATATAAATAAGACAACTGAAGTGAGCCCAAATATTATGTATGTTCACCTCACAATTTATTGAAATATATTATATATAGTATGTATGGAAATTTATATATATATTATGGACAATGCCATTCTTTATCTTTGTGTCTAAGTATATGATATCATTTGTATAGATTATTAAATCTTAATATCTTAATATTTAAAAGATCTCTATGCACTACAAATTTTGTAAAAAGACAGTATGATGCATAATAAATCAACCTTGTGTATTGCAAGTAAAAACAAATTAAAAGAAAAACAAAATAGAACAACTTACTGAGCTTTAACTGCGCCTGTTTTATATGCTTCACGCCACATATGTCCTTGCAATTGCTTTAATGCCCCTGTTTTACGATCATTATCCATTTGCCACAAAACATTTTTCAAAAGTGAATCTTTTTCTTCTTCAGGCTTCTCACCAGTAATCGCTACAAAGCCATCTAATTTATCTTTCTCATCCTTTTTTGCCTAAAAAAGCACATTAGTAAACTATTGATGATATTGATTAATAAAATATTATTCAAAGAAAATAAATAATAAAACATTCAAATTTGTTTATATTAGGTCTAAGTCTAAAATAAATTTAATTATCTATGCATAACATAAAGAAAGATATACATTATACAAAATATATATAAATTTAGATTTAAAATATAAAATGAAGTGCTAAGCTTCATACTAGATAGAAGTTTACATCAATTAAGAAAAAAAAATCATTCCTGCGCAAAAAGATAGAAGGATGGATAGGGGGACAGGAATACTTTATACTCATTTGTTATTCATATCAGAAATCCTTCCCACCCCCCCATTACTTTATCATAAGAATAACATAAAAAACAATATAATCATTCAATAATTTCTTTATTGTAACATAAGAAAGTTTTCTCTATGAACATTTACTATTTTAGTGTATCATCTTCTAACAATATTATCTCAGATAACATTTCAAAATAAAAAATGTTACCTTAAAGCTTGACAATCAACTAATCAATCAAACTAATTCTCTCTAATTAACTAATTGATTTTCTCCATCATATTATAATAAGAATTGTTTTAACACATTATTTAATTTTTCTATTGTGAAAATGTTGTTTTATTTAAAAGAAAAGAGAAAAAACATATCCAAAAAAAGATTTTGACATAATATAACAAAAATTATGACTGTTGTATTTTTTTCATAGCATCAAATTTTCAAACAAAGACTATACACACACAAATATTCTTCTGATTATTTCCTTTATCCTGTATATATATATATATATATATATATATATATATATAACTGGTTGCAGGTCACAAAAACCCATATTTATTTGTTCCTTTAACTCTGGTCAAAATCTTATAGTTACCTGTTCCTTTAATTTTTCATAGTCTTGTTTGAACTCCTCATCCTCCCATTTCGTCTCGATATAATTTTTCAAATTCTGGCGCACGTAGGGGAAAAGGGTCTCCTGCAAGGGAAACAAGCCGCGCATAAGCATCAATAGCCGTCGTGGCGGAAAAATCACGCTCGCCGAGAGAAATCTCGTTGTTCTCGGTAGCGTTCGGTGGCGTCTCGGCGCGCCACGTCAATATACATTCGCCGACCGATATCTATTAAAAGATCGTAATGTTTGTTTTCAAGCTCGATTTCCCGACCGTCCGCTGTTACAGCAAGCCGGGAGGGACGCGGGTGTTCGCTTTTTACTAAAAAAATTCTAATTAAATTCTTTCTCGAGTCGTTGTCCGATTCACAAACACGACGGCGACGGTGGCGGCGACTTGCCGAAAACTCGAGCCGGCACACCGCCCAGACGCGAGGACAATAACCCGTCGTGGAATTCGACCGTATATATACGCGCTTTTCTGCAGACACCCGGACGATTTGCCGGGATTTGCGCGGACGAACTGCCACCGCCGTCGCCGTCGCCGCTCGCGGAATATCCCATTCGCGAAAAATTCGCGACAATTTACCGTCCATGAGGGAATTCATCGAGCGATATGTGAAACTATACGGCGCAGCCGAGTTTGCGAGACGCGCTCGCGCTGTTCGTCCTTCGTTCATGCCTTTATCGTCTTTGTACTTTTACCTTCACGAAACTGATGCTCGTGGTGGTGCCTTCGATGTCTACGAGCACCGTCCTCGCGGTCTCGTCCTGATCCTGGCTGCGCTTTTCCCCGGCCATTTTCACAAACGACTCGCCCACGACCGTAGAATTAATAACGGTGTATCTATATATGTATGGTGTTCCCCCTCGGTTAGGTTGGCGCTCACGCTGTGTATGTCGGCGACGACGCGTTCCTGTTGGGAGCCGGCGAACGAATTCACTGTTGGCCGTGCGCCAATGTGTGCTCGCCGGTGTATGCGTGCGAACTCTCGCGAATCCCCCTCCGCTCGCGGCTCGCGCCCTAGTCTGGTTCTGGTATACCCGGTAACCATATCCGTATTAATGAATCTCGGGTGCCCGGACTTTTATCAAAATTCGCCGGTCTTAGATCTCGAAGAAAATAAAGCTGCAGAGATATCTAAACGATGCTTCTAAAGAATGCTTGAAAAAGTTAGGTTATTTCTTTAGAAACCTTTGTGACAATTATTATTATTTTGTACATTTACATTTTATCTGACCTATGATTCTCGATAAATCATATAAGTGCATCGTTACATCTTAATAACTCAACTAAACGTCCTTAATTTTTACTTGTCACTTTCTACATTGCTCCATATTAGTAGAGTGTTTGTGTGTTGTCAGGAAAAATTGACGTTGGATGCGGTTGACGTGTACGAAAAGTCAAAGGCGCAATTTTAGGGAAAATGCGATTCGCCGGGTTCCGCGGCGAATCGCAACGATCCTGCATTAAATACAAAACCACGGCCCGTATCGGCGCGTAGATACTCGCGATCGCGCGACAGTGTGAGTGCGTGCCGCGAATCGGGCTCGTTCCCCCTCGAGTTCGTCCAATCAGCGGTCTCGCTGTCGCGAATCGGTGTGCGCGCTTGTGTGCGCCTCGTATTATGCTACCCTTCGGAAAAATTTCACGCTGGTGAATCTCGCGAAAAATCGCCTGCTTTGGCGAGTTTTCACGACGGATCAGCATGAAAATTCGCAACGTTACCATCGCGGTTCCCATTCGCGACAGAAGAATGATCGATTCGGCCGAAAAACCGTTCGAATATCGACTCGATAACGAACCCCCTCATTGATATCACTCCGCGGAAAAGTAGTTCCAGGTCGCGTATTATTTTTTGCCCATTTTCGAAACATGGCACGTGTGATCCTTAAGACTCGATCATTTTGTTCCAAGTGTTAATGATCTCGCAATTATGTCGCAAATCCGGTCACCTCCATGACTTTAAGGCATTTTTTATCGTTGTAACTGATGATTGAGAATTCCTTTCGGTTGCCCATGGAAGAACACGGGCGATCACCTGATTTTTGCGCCAACGCTACGTCCATTTAAATCCCTGCGTGACGCGCGCACAGCAGTAGCCATTTAAATTTGAATGGTGACAGCTACGCTACTTTATTCTTTCGGCAATGTTGCGATGTTAGTACATAAATGTATATACAATATGCATTGCAACAGCATACGGGTATTAATGATGTTAAGATATAGCCATAAGAATTTCAAATAGAAGATATTTTTGGAGTAAAATGAAAATATTTGTAATCTCTGATTACATATACATTACAGAATAAAAAGTTATATAAATAATAATAATATTGTTGTAATATTACTATAGATAGTAATAATATCGTATAATCGGTTTGTAATTATGAAAAACATAAGTATGAGATAAAAAGTTACAGTTAAACGAATAAATCAAAGAAACGAATAGTGCTTGTGTCAATTTTGTAATATTATATTCGTAAAGATATAAGAATATATTAAAAAACATAATTTTCTCATTCCATATGAACATATCTTATATTTACATATAGGTAGCCATCATACATTGCAGGATTTAATACATTGACAGAGCTACATTACAATCAAAGCATAGAATTTCATATGAAATACGACAAAAATTAACGTAGATATCATTAAGTGTATAAAAACATTATGTTTATTTGTGTTATGTATTAAAATCAATCAACCATGACACGCAATATGAATGTATATATATAAAATTATTTACTTAATGTGGTTTAAAACTTTAAAAGGCTATATGTGTGTTATCTAATATGTATGTGTACATATATAATATGCATACCATATATATGTAGTACTACTATAAATATGTGTATGATAGTATATCATTCTATTTTATGTAATTTTGCAATTATTTATAAACTTTATTTAATTACATTACCTGTATAACGTAATATGAGAACATTTTAATAAATAAGATAACAAGACCTATCATGAGAATATGTGTATTCATATATAATTGTAATCTATAACATATAATTGGACATATTACTTTTTTGCACATATTCCTTATATATGTATACAACATGTATCCAGACATTTGTTCCACTGATGCACCAAGGTATCAATTCCAGCAGCGAAGAAATCAGTATCAAGGTCCTGGAGTCAAATCCTTATAGCATGTTGAACTGCAAGATCAGCTGCATATCACTTTTCAGACAAGTGCTTTTTCAGGAGTCTAAAGAGATAGAAATCACTTGATGCAAGGTGAGATGTGGACACATGCGTGAGGTGTTACAGCGCTACGGAACACAAGTGCTAAATCACACCCCTCACAACCTTGACTTTTGAATGCCGGTACTTTGTTCCCCGTACTCCTTGTGCATGCGTCGTGCGTGTCCACTGACCACGTGGTTTGTGTACTTTACCGCGACGTAAACTATATAAATATCGGGTGTACTCGGGTCACGCGTTCTCAAAGTCTCGAATGCGCAGTACGCAGTAAGTACGCAGTCTCTTTGTTCGTATTGTCTCAATCGAGGTCGAAAAACTTGAAGGAGTTTAGAAGAAGTTCGTTTCGCGAAAGTGAAAAAGAGTTGTTGCCGTTTACCAACCCCTCGAGACCGCCGAGAGAGTATATCGTCTAACAGGAAGAGGAGGTTTCCGCCGGACAACGAGGAATCATCCTTTGTTGCCGCGCCACAAAGACGCAAAAAGATTCGAAGGAGGATATTTACAGCATCGTCGTCGTCGTCGTCGTCGTTGTTAGATTCCGACGAGGATATAATGGTCGTCGTACCGCCTTCTATTGCTTCTCCTTCTCCTGATAATCGTGATCCTGACTCAGAAGAAGAAGAAAAGGAAAATCGAAGAGTCGAAGATGGAAGAAGAAAAAGAAAGAGCGAGGACAGAGGGACCTCGGAAGAGGGAAATGAAAGAGTGCGCGCGATATTTGAGACAGATTCCTCAGGCTTCTGAAAATTGTATGCGGGGTTACATGTTTGTGATAACCGGTTCTCTCGACACGTTCAAGAGATACGAAATGGAGGAGTTTATAAGGAGACACGGCGGTCGTACCGTATCAAAGGTGGATTACATCGTGATGGGAGACACGAAGATTAGTCCCTCTAAATTGGCAAAGGCCGACAATACCGCGGGTATTAGGAGAGTATTCAAAGGGGATCTTCTGGAAATGATTCGCGAGAAGTTGGAACGTGCCACAACCCTGACTTTCCACCAAGATTTCCATCTTTTTGGACTCTTGAAGAAGCACTTGGCTGAAAAGCGATATGCAACCGATGCTGCAGTTTAACATGCTGTAATGTCTTGACTGCAGGACCTTGACACTGATTTTTTGCTGCTGGGATCGATGCCTTGGTGCACCAGTAGAACGAATGCCTGAACATATGAGGAATATGTGCAATATGTTACAAGTTGTAGTTATAGTTATATATGAATACATGTATTTTCATAACAAGTCTTGTTACCTTATTTATTGAAACGTCTTTGTACAGTAATTTTACCTGTATAATTAACATTATCTGCAATGTTATACACGTTGTAAGTTATTCAATTTTTCACCAAGATGCTTGTTCAGATGAATTCTGATTTCTTGTTGACTGTTACATTTTTCTCCACACTCTGGACATTCGATTTCACCTTCTCCATGTTCCTTCTTGCGATGCTTTGAGCGATTGTTGTAGGTAGAAAACGATTGTCCGCAATCCGAGCACTGGTAAGGCTGTTCGCCTGTATGCTTACGGCGATGGTGGTCCCTGGAGTCTTTTCGCCTGAAGCTCATGTGACAGTATTCACAAGTGAATGGCTTCCTACCAGTGTGTAATAAAATGTGATTGTACAAGGATTTGGTATCATTGAATCCTTTGCCACATTGCGCACATTTGTATCGCTTTTCACCACCATGCTTGCTTTTGATGTGATTTATCAGCAGCTGCTTGATTCTGTAAGTAGCGTTACATATATCGCACTGGAATATTGGGCTGACCTTACCCTCGTGTACTTTTTCTTTGTGCGCCTTCAGCGACATTTGATGTTTAAACTTTTCATGACATTCGTTGCATTCGTACCATGGTTTTTGTGTTGTTAGTAAGGGATCTTGGCGATCGAGCTTATGAGTGTCGATCAAGTGATACTTTAGCATACGATAGGTCGGCAGATCTTCGGTACATACCGGACATGTAAACAATTGCGGCAGCGATACATTCTTATCGTTTTTCCAGTGCTTTTCCAAATGCTCGTTCATGTTCTGTTTTTTGCTGAAGGATTTGTCACATATATTACAAACATAGCGATTGTGAGAGAAATGAGTTTTCCTGTGGAGTTTGAGCGCATTGGTAGTCATGCAGCGTAGACCGCATACGTCGCATTGATAAGGTCTTTCACCTGTATGCGTGCGATGATGTTCTTTCAATCGTGCCTTCAACTGAAACGACTTGCCGCACTGCTCACAGATATGTGGCCTAGCTCCTTTGTGTACAAAGAGATAATGCTCATACAAGGAGTTTTCTGCACTAAACTCCTTGCCACATGTGCTGCAGATAAATTCGTTCATGTTTTCATTATGTCTCATCTCATGAAACTCCAGTCTCTCTTTGCGCACAAAATGTTTAGGGCATTTTGAGCAATGGTACTGCCGCGGCGAGATCACTTTCATTTCGTTTCCATCGACCATCAGCGATAAAGTGGAATCCTCGCAGGCCGCGCATGTCGCCAAATCGTTGATAGCATCCGGATCTAAATCTGTTATTAATTTTCCACAGAGACTACAATTTGCGGCAACTCGTCCTTGTATTTCGACCGCGATAGCTTTCTGTGCTTGATTGACGCTTATTTCATCCATGCCCATCTCAAAATGTATCTCTTTGATACCAAAGTGTTTATGTCTCTTTTGGTGGCCATTTAATCTCGGTTTCTTCGTAAACATCTTGCCGCATTGTGTGCAAGCATACCGCATCGAGCTTTTATGTGTATGGAAATAGTGATCCCACAATAAGTTCTCACTGCTAGCTTCTTTGTCACATACTGTGCAGACATATCTATCCATTTTGTTTGACTTGTGCCTCTCCATGTGAAACTCGTATTTTAATTGAGAAAGATAACGAGCTCCACATAAATTACATACAATTTTTGGACTCTTATTGTCGATATCGTCGTATTTTATACCATTTTCATCAATGTGATCTTTTTCAGCTTCTATTGTATACACTGTAGTATTCTCTTCTTTGAAGTTTATTTCACCACTAAGCCATTCGACACCTTCATCTATTCCATCATTTAGATTCTCATCTTTTATCAAGATATCTACACACCCATAATCATTGTCCAATACATTAGTGTCTGTTGCATCTAATTTCGTTTCTAGTTTTTGTGATTTAGTAGGTGTTTCGCAAAAAATATTTTCCTTAAGTTTTCTTTTTGTACCTTTGCTCAATCGATGTGATACATTATTTTTTTGAAATGTAATGCAAGTGTCAACATGATTTATATCTTCTTGTAGTATTGGTAACTTTTCATCTGTTTTACTGATGTTTTGTTCCTTATCATTCAATGTATCATTGATAATACTCTGATTCAATGATGATTCATGCAAATCATCTTCTATACTTGATGTTTTTATGCAAGTATTAACAAATTCTATTGCATCATCACAGGTTTGGATATTTCTTTCCATTGATTTTTCCATTTGGTCTACTATGGCCAATGAAATTTGAAATGCATAATTACAATCATCAGGATTGCTTTTTATTAGTATCATTAAATCTATATTGCAATTTGGGCATGTATATATCATATCATTATATAGTTTGGAAATTGCTGCAATTTCCATTTTTTCACTTTTATTGGGCTCAAATGAAGAATTACTTTTTGCCATATTAACGTTCTCCTTTGAATTTTCCAATACATTTTGGATAAAATCATAATGAGTAGTAACTTTTTCGTAGCAGTCCAAGCATATGTATTTGGAATGATCATCCTGCGAAATCTATAAAAAGATAGAAAAATACTAATTATTTTTATCAGTTTACTATTAATCATTTAAGCTTAATAAATCACACATACAAAGCATTAACATACCCTGATTGGTAGTGTGTCATTTATTTTTTGAGTTAAATTAGTTGCCTCATCAAAGATATATTTTGAATTTGTAAGTTCATGTTTAATACCACACAAACGACATATCAATGAATCATTTGACATTTTTATAAATTGAATTGAAACACCTTGTGTTTTAATTTTATATAATAATTGTTTATTAGATTATTTATAAAAGATGTATAAGGCTCCCATATTTTCCTCAAATATTGGCATCAATAGACTTTCTTTGAGGTTACGATTACCTAGTAAGCAAAAAGTGTTTGAAAACTTATAAATCTTATGCAAAATGTATGCTTATATTTGCGCGAAAGACATTCGTCAATATGCATGTTAGTTATAATTATCATAGAGAAAATTATCTTTGATTGTCGTTTTATAAATTTTTGATAAAACGCTCAACATTTAGCAATATAAAGCAAGAAGAGAATTGAAGCAAATATCTAATAATTTCATATATGCTACTGAAAAAATAATATACTCGTTGAAACTTTCTTGGAAACTGCAAATTTGATCGCTAAATTTCAAGTGCATTTATATTATTCCTTATATGTGACTATATGACTATATAGAGGTTAGAACGCGGTTAGGTATATAGAAGAGTATTTATATTTGTATATTTCAATATATGTGTATATATTGTAAAATACACAATTCTTTATCGAATTCTTCAAAGAGACAGAAATTGCATTTTTAATTAATAATTAGATATAGTGTAAAATAATTAGGTATAGTATAAAAGCTGTAGTATTGAAGGTAGTATTGAAGTGAAGCTTAGAGTAGCGAAGTAGTATAAAAGCGTTGATATGAAATTTTGACTTACAATTTTCTATTTATTTTACAATTCACAATTATTCCAATTATATTTAATGTTGGAAGAGATTTGATATATTAACCGAATTATTACGGTTACAATTTACGTTAGGCACCCAATTGTCTTTATAGTTACTGAAATATTTCGACTTTTATTTCTATCAGCAGAGAGAAGCCTGAGAGGGGTTACGCCGTTTTTCATAAGACACTTTCTAGCTGGTACAGTAGCGTCAACTAGATCCATTTTAGAACCGGCGGAACTACATGGCCAGATTCACTTTTCGATGCTACGGTAAAATAATCGGTTGGTGCATTTGCGTGCTAGATCCATAATTGTGGATCAAAATTGCGGAGAAATATTATGGATTTATATATTAATGTTTTATTAGCTGTATATGATATTTTGCCATTTTAGTATATTACGGACAGCCATAATAATAATAATAATAAGTTATTATTGAAGTATTTTTATGTATATACGCATGTGACATAAAATAAATTTTCTTAAATTATTTTCTTAATAATTTTTCTCCTAATTTTTAAATATATAATGTGTAAAAGATATTTACAATAAATTGTTTTTTACTTTTTTCTCTCTTATTCTTGAAACAAAATTATCAAGCATTTTAAACAATATCAAAAGTTATATTAATATGCTTTTAATTTATATAGCTTTTTATAATTAATTATTAATTAATTATTAATTATATTATTTAAGTAATTTTTTATTTATAAATTCAGTTGGATGCACTAGCGCGTACTGATGCACATTAAATGCTATTATATTATTTCATTTTACATGCGCAGATACATAAAAATACTTTAATTATAATTTATTATCGCTGTAGTATATACTGGAATGACATAACATCATCTTTAGCTAATAAAACATTAATAAATCCATAATATTTCTCCGCATTTTTGATCCTTAGGCCGGTATTCATAGTCCGTTCTTATATCCAAGATCGTCTTAAGTGTGGTCTTGGGTCGTCTTAAGATCCCATTCAACCAATGAAATGGCCGCATAGTATCTTAAGATCGTACTTAAGACGATCTTGAATATAAGAACGGACTATGAATACCGGCCTTAATGTGTTTTGCATGGACATGCACCAACCGATCGTTTTACCAATGGCATCAAAAAGTATCTGGCCATGTAGTTCCGCCGGCTCTAAAATGAATCTAGTTAGCGCCACTGTACCAGCTAAGAAAACGGTCTCATGAAAAACGGCGCCGTGGCCCTTCTCAGGTTTCTCTCTGGTGATAAATAAGCGAATTCTGTTGAATCATATATGATAATATTCAATGCACTATACTAGGGCGCACTGGTGATTGGTTCGTTGCTTCGATTGTTCGATACGTTGAGAATCGCAATGTCGCCTTTCTATATATTTCCAATCGCAGGTCATGCGATTGCGTCACAATGAACGGGGATCGTATATTTGAATCGTTGTATATTTCGCGCGCGAGTGTCTCGTAAAGTATCGGTCGTTTTGGTTTTGTGTATTAATATGTATTAATTAAATGTACAATTGCTATCGTACACCAAAATCGCGAATACGGCATCTGTGTACGGAATCGTAATCTTTTTCACATATTTCAAGTTAAATCCTACTCTCGCTCAAGTTCCAGCGTAAAATATTGCAGCGGATGCAGAATCATCGCCAAGTATGTATATGTATTATACATATCGCTAATATATAATTTTCATGCTATACATTATTTTTATGAGATATTTCGTCCATTTATAACATTTGTATTAGATTTTATCTTGAATTGGATTTCTGTCTGATAATTACAGTGATTAGTTTACATTTTGCATAACTTCTTTATATATATATATATCATCTTCTTATACCTCTATCAAAAATATATAATATTTTATTAAAATATTTTAGTAACATACATTTGATTATATGTATAATAGTTTATATGTGTATTTTGACTGGGGACGCTTATTGTTGCTATATGTTACCAATAGTCGGTTATATGGTAGTTAGATTTCTCAATTATTTATAGCTAGTCACAGTCACACGAATGTATTGTGTTATTTCATACATCTGTAGAAATCTAGGAACCATCTAATCGTAAATAGATCAATGAAAAGACAGAGGAATTTAAAATGTACCTCACAAATTATAATATATAATAATTGAGAATTGAGATTCAAGAATTTTCATTTTTTATCACAAATTTATCTACAATCAGTAGACATTATACGATTGCTTGGTAAAGGAGGTTGCAGTAAAAATTTTACTATCAAATCGTGATAATGTCGTATCGTATGAGTTTCTGTGAACAACATCATGGCTGGTAATTACAAAAGTTTTATGAAATTATTAGAATCGTGGCCACTGGATAAAACCAAAGTGGGCAGGTAATTACAAAAGAATGCAATGCAAAACATTGTATACAGATATATATAATTTTTTTAAATATTACAATCATTATTATTAGTAATATAATAGTATTTTTTAAAAATATTTATAGCTAGGTTAGAATATTCTTTTATATACATTGATATTTTTTATAAGCATTGGTAAATGGAACATATCATTTATTACATTATTATTTTTTGCACTATACTTAAATTCTCCCTTTTCTGTCTTTTTATTAATCTATTTATGATTGGGTGATTTTTAGCGATTTGGGACAACACATTCGTGACCAATTAAAGATTGCCTTTGCAAAGGGTGATGCAGCTAATCAACCAAATGTGGAACAGTGTAATCGATATTATTCAAGTTTGAAAAGAATTTCATCAAATCATTATGGGCAACTTTATAAACGCTCCTTGTTAAGCACTGCGAGTGGATTGAATAGAGAGCAGTGTAACTTGGCGCTGACGCCAGAAATGTTAGATTATTTGAAGGAAGAGGATAAGAATATATTTCGCAGAGTTTATGGAAAAATTCGAAATATTATAAGATATGATAAAGTTTAGATATTTTGTAGATAAGTTTAGTAAGAACAGATGTGTTTTTAACAAAAATGTTGCATTACTGTCAAAAATAGATTTACTGCGTTTAGTTAATGCAAGACAATATAGCGATGTCTACCATGACAAATATTTGCCTATTATGGCACAGGAAGTATTAACATATATGGACTTATCACCAGGCAGGACATACGTAGATATGACATTTGGTGCTGGTGGGCATACCACTAAATTTTTAGAACATTTACCTGATATAAAAATATTTGCATTAGACAGAGATCCTGTAGCATATAAATATGCGCAAGAGTTATCGCAGAAATATCCAGGGAAAGTAATTCCTTTGTTAGGTAGATTTTCCGAATTACCACAGTTACTTAAACAGTATAATATTGAAAGAAATAGTATAGATGGCTTTTTGTTTGACTTTGGTTGTTCATCAATGCAAGTTGAAGATGCGAATAGAGGTTTTTCTTTGTTGAAGAACGGACCGTTAGATATGAGAATGAACAGGTGTTTGAAACAACCTACTGCTGCGGATGTGTTAGATAGAGCGACAGAGGAGGATTTGGCTCGCATCATAAAATTTTATGGGCAAGAAAAGCATGCTAAGAAAATTGCGCGTGCCATTATTGAAGCTAGATATATGTTTAGGAAATTAGAAACAACACAGGAACTGGTTCAGTTGATTCAATCTGTTCTAGATGATGAAATTAAGATAGACAGTCTCGACAGATATCCGCATAGTGCCGTAAAAACATTTCAAGCGCTTAGAATTTTTGTCAATAATGAATTAAATGAAATCAATTATGGTATACTTCTTGCGAATATATACTTAAAATTATCCGGTCGTTTAATAACTATCTCTTTTAACTCACTCGAAGATACTATAGTCAAAAGACATCTCTGTGGAAATATAACAGATAATGTCGCTAATACTGTTGCATTAAAGTATGCGCATTATGGTAAAGTGTTTAATACAGGTGAATTTGAAATATTGACAGAGACACCATGGAAAATGATGCATAAAAATGTTCTAACATCTACAAATGAGGAAATTAAAATAAATCCGAGATCGCGATCGGCGAAATTGCGTGCTATTATGAAAGTGAAATAAATCTGTTTTATGTATTAAAATTTGCAATACGCATCACGCTTTCCTATTGCTATACAAATATGTTAAGATTGTATTATTTATGGCATGCTTGTATGTATATATGTGTATATACATACACGATACATTTATTTTAATAGAATATATATTTCACGCTTTCATACAAATATGTTAAGATTGTATTATTTATGGCATGCTTGTATGTATATATGTGTATATACATACACGATACATTTATTTATTTATTTT